TTCAAAACCTTTTTTTCGTTATGTAAGTAAAACGTCATTCGTATGTGAATTTGTATGGTTAGGGCAAAAAAGTAGAAAATATTAACCTTCTAATAATGAAATTGTTCGATATAATAATAGACATTTGTAATAATAATCAAAGTTGGCTGGGTTCTGTAAACTTTTTTTTCTAATCGTCCCCTATGATTTACTAATATTTGTAGGATTTGCTTTTATCATGTCAATTCAAATTTTAATCAACATTTATTCACTATTTTTTTTGTTATAAATTTTTTAACAAATCTTTAATAATTTATATAGTAATCTCGAAGGGAAAAAAAAAAGGTCAAATATGATTTGAAAATGATCGACATGTATGACAATGCATAAACAATAACCTTAATTGAAACGAAAAAAAATTTTTTTTCTTTTAATTTTACAAAATGTTCAACAGTGACGAAAAAGTGTAGAAAAAAAGCTTAAAAATATATTTACAAAAGAAAACAAAAATAATAAAATGGATGAAAATGGTAAGCGTATTGACCAAAACAAGTTGTTTTGACAGATTTGAGATGATATTTTTCATAGGAGGACTTTCACGTGATTCACCGATCTTATTCAATTGCGGAGAACATTGTTTATACAGTTTAAAGTACTTTTTGAGAATGTAACGTTTCACATAAAAATGAAATTTTTTTTTATTTTTCGCTTCGAAAGTGTGTTAACACTCGCTGTACAAAATAATCCCAAGATAATCCAAAATCTAAAGGTACTTTACTTAGAAGACAAGTATGCTTACTGAACAATGTGTAATTACAATATATCAAACCAAGCAGTCAGCATAGTGGAAAAAGTTAACTGAGTACGTTATTGCAAAAAGTCAAACTAACAATACTTTGTTAAGATATCTACAAATAGGTGACGTGATTTGCTTAAACTGTTATAATGGAATTGTGGTAAATTGTTTACTTGAATTTCAACAATATACTCTGAAAGCTTTACTTCCACTTCCATCTCCACCTCAAACTCCGCCTCCAGCACTACTACTATCACCCTCTATTTTGTCCCATTTCAAAGCAGTAAAAACAATGACTAATGTCTTATATAATTGTGAAAATAGGAAAAAAATGCCAACATTATATTCATTTGATGAATTTCGCAAAGTTATGGAAGAAAATAATGCAAATTTGAAGCCCTTTTTTGATGAATTGTATTTATCATCTAATACTTCTTCAAAAAATAGAGATTCACAAAAACAAGCAAAAAAACAACTCTTATTTATATGCTACTTTCTCTGTAGGATTCAGAATAAGTTCGTTAATGATGCTAAAAAGGACTTAGCGATGTATCTAAATTCTACAGGTGCTTCTGATACTTCTATAAATACCCTTATTGATTTAGGTGTAACTATGATATCTCGCACAGTTTCTTAGTATAAAACAACTATATCTAAAGAACATACCAAGACTGTCAATTCAGCACTTGCTAAATGTATGGAGAATGGAATGATACCAAATATCGACGATTACCACAGCATTCACACGAAACGAATGCCAAATACAATTATCATATCAACCGCTATCCGTCTGGCAACAATTTTAATGAATCCAATTACAACGCAATATGCAATTCCAAAAATGAATATACATAACCCTATTCTAGTTGATGCTGAATTGATTAAAACTAATATGAAAAATAAGTTTATGAGACTTTGTGGTCTTTTGCATAACCAGTGTTGGGGATTTTATATAGTTGATGATGATATAAGATTAGAGGAGCTAACTATGCATAGTTATGATATTAGTTTAAAGGAAAAATGAAATGTCCGTTTGATGAAGGATGTCATTATTATAGATTTATAAGAAAATGGCCTTCATTCTTTGGATGTATACATTAAAGCTATTAACATCGTTGTAGATGTTCTATCTATACAGCAGTATATTCAGCAAGGAAATATCATCTCCATTGTAGCTGATTGGCCTGAACAGATTTATCTTAGAATAGCTATTTCACGCTACTTATGTTATCATAATTTATTAAATATTACTAATAATATTTTGTCTTTCCTTCCTGTTATAGGTCCTCTGCATATTTCACTAAATAGCTAAGAATTGGTTTTCCTTCAGTATCAACCTTTTTTCTCAGCCATGTATACATATATTTTGGAGAAAATAAAAAACTTGCATAAAAGCCCAAGCCAT